AAAAAAAAAAAAAAATTAGTTAAAAAGTTTATTTTTTTTCTGTCTGTCTTACACGGATAGAATCAAATTATCTGCAACACACTGCTGTAATGTTTTACTATCAGTTTCAGGTGCGTCACGCTGGCTGCCAGATAGGTGCTGAACCTACCAGTTAGCTCATTTCTGTCACTTTGTATATGGGTTTGATAGCTGAAGCATAAACTGAGCTAGCAGTTGTTGCATTAACAATAAGAGTCCAGTTTTTACAAAGCTACACTATACTTAGACTAAAAAATGACATAAACATGTACTTACAGCATACATGTCCTTCAGCCTGTGTAGTCTCTCCATGTAAGTCTGCTTTATATGTATGCAGCTAGCACTTGCAGTATACTAGGCAGCTGGTGGCTAAAATCACTGATACTGGCGCGACCTGGTGGTGAGCCTGTAAAGCTTCATCACAGGGTTAATATTAACAGACAGTCTGTTAAAAGAAGCTGTAACTCAGGAGTTTTCATGTGTTTTCAGTGCTTTGATGTCATGTCAGCTAGTAAATTATTAATTTCCATTTTATTTTATTGCTTCCAGTTATTTGTACATAACACTGGATTCATGAGGTGAGTGCTGATCCCTGCATTTCTTGCAGCTCAAACTTCTCAAACTGTTTTTTCATTTACAACTAAAGTTTACAGATTGTTCCAGGATATGACAGAGCCACTAATCAGAAACTAATATAAGTAAAGGAAAACAATCATTCTTACACTTGTAATTATTCTCACAAGTTGCAGGTTGATACATATAATACTGAGACTCTAAGCTGCAGGCAAAAAGCTGTATGCACTGAAAATACATGACTTAAATAACAAACTGTAATAGAAGCACAACTATTTCTAGAGTAAATCTTTCATGTTTTTTGTATTGTTAGATATAATAAGTAGGCATTTTGTCATCTGCTATGATTCTTAATAGTAAAAAAAACAAGCCAGTGTTATGCAAGAGACATGTATAGTATGCACTTTCTCACTGTGTGCAACTAAGTTAGTATCACATGGTTTCATTGTTTTACGGTCATGACAGACACAGTGAATATTAGCTAAAATGCTCAAGCTATGAGATGATGGTTGATGCTTGACTCAGCTGTTGTCTTAGAGAGGCACAGCTCACCTTTGCTGTTATCTGCTATATATACAAAGCACAGCACAAGAAAAGCACAAACACTAATGACCACAGCTTTTTAAATCTCCAGTGTTATATGTAAGATGTTGGTGAGAGCTTCTAACTGAAACTGCTAACTTGGCATGAACAGGTTTAAGACTGGTGCTAGGTCAGAATGCATTAGGGGCAAGCTAACTTGCATCTTGATTTGAACGTGGTGTTGCTTTTCTTGTACGCTGTTTCACTTTAACATCTGAGTAGATGATGTCATCTTCAGCATCATCTGAAAGACATAGAAACAGAAAATGATTTTTAGGTAGTCAAAAGATTTTACAATTATATATGAAAGACTTAACAATAATGTTAAGATACTGTCAGATTCAAAATCTTTTGGACAAACAGTTTGTGCTATGTGCACCACCACAATGGATTCTAACAAAACAATCATAATATGACTGAAGTCTAGATTTAAACTCAAGGAATAGGAATAGATGTATTATATATGAAACAAATGTTCCTTCAATATGTTGGCATTACTAAATTTGGCTCAATGCTTACATATATGTGTAAAAAGCAAATGTACGAGCTGTGATAACTGTGTCTGATAGAATGAAGAGTAGACTGATATATGAAATATTCCTTTATTGGGTGAGAAAATCAGACCATGTCATAACTGCTTTAAGTCACACAGAATAGATATCAGAGCCTTAAACAGGCTGACTTCTGCTAAATGGGTCAAACTGGGCAGAAAGTATCCTTATAGAATATGATGTAACACTATAGATCAACTTACCTCAGAATATATAAAGCACATAAACAATTACAGCAATATGATGCAACAAACACAGCAGTGCTACTAATCCAAAATACTCAAAGCTTCATAGAACTGAAACAAACATTTATTTTTAGCTCCATTCTGCTGCTGATACATACTTTAGGTTTCTGAATATTACACTTGTTGCTGCCTTTCATAGTGTGTAACTTGAAGGCCCTGAGTACTTTCTCCCACACTGAAAACACTGGAATGATAAAATTATTTGAACATTACCTAATAAGACTGATTCAGGACAGACAATTAGTTATTTTAAACTTTTCTAGCAGTCCTTCACAAACAGGGAACAGTCTGTCTATTCTCTCCATCTGTCAGCTGCTGCTGGCTCTTCCTCCTCCTCTTCCTCACACACTGCTGAGTTTGTCCTGGTGGATCATCAGGGGTGCAAAGCCTCACAGATGATGTGCAGCAGTGGGTCCCTCAGTCTGTCCTCACTCTGGACACTTGCAGTCTGTCACACATGGAAATCAAATGTGTGATAAGCTGCAGGATTCAAACACAAGTGTAACTTATAAACACATGTTCATACTTTTATTCCACAATCAGAGAGAAAGAAACAGATTTTACCTTTTAACTTTTTCTTCTTCCTTTTTTTTTTTTTTTTTTTTTTTTACAAAGTTCAAGCTCTCATTACAGATGCAATAAAAATATTGCATAAACATGTGAGGAACTAAAGGGCCTCAAAAGCAACTGCAAAAATTAAGTAACGGGAAAAAAAAGTTAATTTCTAATACTTGCTGAAAACCCTTTGCTGGCAATGACTGCCTGAAGTCTTGAACTCGTGGATGTCACCAGATGCTCGGTTCCCTCGTTTTTAACGCTCTGCCTGGTCTTTCCTGCAGCTGCTTTCAGTTGCTGTTTGTTTGTGGGCCTTTCTTTCTGAAGTTTCATCATCAACAAGTGACATGTATGCTCAACTGGGTTAAGGTCCGGTGACTGACTTGGCTATACAAGAATATTCTACTTCGTTGCTTTAATAAGGGCCTGGGTTGCATTGACTATATGTTTTGAGTCATTGTTCATCTGTATTATGAAATGCTGGCGAATCGATTTGATTGCATTTATCTGGATTTGAGCAGACAGGACATATATGGGGGTTGTAGTCATGGTGCTCTCTGTCTGACTTGCCCTTTTGTATCTCGTTTTAAATACACTGTTCTCTGACAGGAATAACCGATAATCATTTTGTGTTTAAATTTCAATTTTGAATTAAAAAAACACATTGCAGTGCCATCCTTTCATGTTCAGAAACACGTTCTGCAGTAACCACAGAATTCAAGTGTCACTTGTTTCCTGCCATATCTTGCTTGTGCAGTGTGTGCAACCTCTGTTGTTATATTTATAGAAACCCTGGTTAATGCAAAAACATGCATGGATATATGTGTAGAAAGGTGTAAGTGAATGAACTTCCATTAGCACTGCGTCCCCTGTGT